ATCGAATCAAAATCATCATCACGTGTAATTAATGTGATAACATCCATTATATTAAGTTGTATGCATAGTCAGTTGGCTGTGTGTCAAGCAAGAGAGAGAGAGAGAGAGAACTAAGCGCTGTATGTTGAGAGTGGAATCCATGTGGTGATTGCGTTGTGTCATTTCAAATTATATAAACGATGGTGGTTTACGGGATGATTCCCACGTCTCGTTTGCGGAAAGGACGGAGAGAGGAGGGACTGACTGACTGACTGACCAACTTGTTCATGAATGGTCGTCGATCGAGACCAATGACGCACGTTGAAAGTCAGTAGTAGTGGTATTAGTATTAGTATTAGTATTAGTATTAGTAGTAGTAGTAGTAGTAGTAGTAGTAGTAGTAGTAGTAGTAGTAGTAGTAGTAGTAGTAGTAGTAGTAGTAGTAGTAGTAGTAGTAGTAGTAGTAGTAGTAGTAGTAGTAGTAGTAGTAGTAGTAGTAGTAGTAGTAGTAGTAGTAGTAGTAGTAGTAGTAGTAGTAGTAGTAGTAGTAGTAGTAGTAGTAGTAGTAGTAGTAGTAGAAGTATTACGGAATATAAATAGCCGAGCCGAATATCACATGCTTAAAATAATAATTACAGCGAGAGAAAATTGTTTTCGGTTTATTGGTTGTTGCCAAGGGGAAAAGTGGTTTTCGTTAGCTGCACTATTATCGCTAGTATCCTTTTGGTGATGATGATGAAGAAGAAGAAGAAGAAGAAGTCTGTCACAGTCTATCTATCATAAGCAAAAACAAGACCTGCTGCAACTTCGACAATAGAAGCAATTTGACAATGCAGAGGAAGAAGAAGCCCGAGAAAGTGTTTGTTATTCAGGCGTTGACTACTAAATTATCAGTCAGTCAGTCAGTCAGTCAGTGAGTCAGTCGGCAGTGAGTGAGCGGTCGGAGAAGTGAACACAAAAATCTTGATTCTGCTGTCAACTGAATTCATTCTCCTGCTCTACACAAACTCATCTCACCTTTGCATCAATCTCATTGCTTTAGAGGGAGTAAGAGAACAAAGAAGAAGGAGACGAGGAAGAAGAAGAAGAAGAAGATCTATTTTCTGCTACAAAAGTCTATATCTTGTTACCAGAAATTGTGGTCGAGTGAGCACAAGAATTTTATCTATCCTGTGCTAAACACAATATATCTCATAAACGTGAGTTTATATGACATTTATCATTATTATTATTATTACTTTTATCATCTTCATGGGCTCGCTTTTGAATCATGTTATATTTGATAACCAGTCAGTCAGTCAGTCAGCCAGCCCGCCCACCCACTAGGAGGAGGAGGTGGAGGAAGCCAAGAGAGAAATAAATAATAGTTGGTAGCTAAATTATCATTATTACATTATCATTATTATTATTATTACTCGACATATTCTTCAATCAAATGGATAATATTGACTAGCCTATTATGCGAGTAGAGTGAATTTACGATCACATGAGATGAGATGAGATGAGATGAGACCTGTTGAAATGTTTGTTATTTGTTCTCTAGTCATTATCCCCCGATGTTGATGACTGACTGATATGCGAACGAGATGTCTGAGGAATGACCGACTGACTGACTGACTGACTGACTGAGTGGGTGAGTGGGTAGGTGGGTGGCTAGGGCTGGTAATATATTAGATAATACGAATTAGTGGTTGACTGACTGACTGACTCTGGGTGAAATGGGCCACAATGGCACAGATTTAGTCACTCTTTTACGTCGTCTTCTAATCTAAAGATAAGCTTGACTAGGTGTGATATTTTCAATTTCCCTCTTCCTCTTCTTCTTCTCATTGCCTTGCCTTGCCTTGCTTCCTACCATACACTTTTTGTTTGGCTACTTTCATGATATGAGTCTTTTCTCTGACATTGCTACTACCCGTGTGGAATTCGTCGGCAGCTAACCTTAAACGATCGATCGATCTATCGATCCACTTGTTTACTTTACTTGCAAGGCTTTACAATGATTTCGTCTATCTGAAAACTTTGTCTCACCCTAACCTGCTAACTTTACAGACAGACGACAGACAGACGACTGTGGGTGTCAAGCCTAATCAATTCTACAATAATAGAACGCAAATATTACCTATTTACTTACTTGCGCTGGCATTATCAATTCTATAATATTAGAAATAAATTGTTTCCTAACTTATTGTCTTTGTTTTATTTGGTCGTGAATGGTCTTGTTTGTTAGTTATCGATTTTTTGGATTGCTAACGCGTTTTCGCTCGCTGATTTTGATTTAATCTTGTGTACCATTATGTCATTTTGAAATATCATTTGAATTTCTCTTCTTGTCTTTTGTATGTGATTATCGATTATTTATGTCTGCGTCACGTGCTCTCTCTTCTAAATATCTGCTGACTCATCAAGTGAATTTAGTTTAGCCGGCTGACTGACTGACTGACTGACTGACTGACTGACTGACTGACTGACTGACTGACTGACTGACTGACTGACTGACTGACTGACTGACTGACTGACTGACTGACTGACTGACTGTGTAGTCTTTGCCGCCTACTTTCTTGTTCGTTCAATAAGTTAAGATGTTTTGCTCAACAATTTAAAGAACACTTTGAAGTTGAAGTTGAGGTGTGTGTGTGTGTGGCTAATGTCTAAAAATAGCTGAATCATGTGATGATCATGTAAAAGATTTTCAGTTTTAGTCAGAGTTAATATTTAGTGGAAGTTTGTGAGTGGAATGAATATCAGAATTGAATTGCAGTGTAACTAACGACATGACTGTGATCATCATCACTGATGCTGCTAGAAGAAGGAGAATATCTATTCGACATTGAATGAATACTACTGTGGTAAATACAATCCTACTATACATATCGGTACTAATTAGTAAAATTGTGGTAATCATAGTTGTGTTATGCAAGGACTGACTGGTGTTGATTTGACATGTTGGGAAACATGTGAATATGTGAATATATATATATATATATATATATATATATATATATATATGTACATATATGTATATGAATTAATTGCTTTATGTTTTCAACAGAGGTTTGAATGGTACATTTTGTGATTTATGTTTTAGATGATCTGGTATTCGGGCGCCTACATCAGCTGTTTGAAGTCGACATGTTTATTCCTGAGTTTGGAAGGCCTCTCTTCTTCATCTACCTGTTAACTGAGTGTATGGAATGGCATGGCATGGCACCAGTGTTTGTTCTCTCATCAATTCAACATATTTCTTATGTTGAAACTTGTAATCTCTTCTAGTTTACATCACAATATACATATATATTATACCGTTGAGTTTATCTACTTACCTATCTGTTTATCTTGTCAATGGAATGAATAGTTGAAATGGTGAGTGATAGGAAATAATTTGTTTACTGGAGGGAATATTTTGGATAGGGTATGAAATTCACGATAGGTAGGTAGGTAGTAAAAGTGAATAATTGTAGCATGTGAGTAATGTTAATGAATGTATTACGGAGAGAATTGGTAGTGATAGAGAGCGGACAGATATTGTTAAGTTGTCGTCTGGTGTGAATGACGGAGGAAGGAAGACGTGTGTGTGTGTTGAGCGATGGGTTGAAGGGAGAAGAGTGATGGGGATGAGTAGATGGGCGTGTGCATGGATGGTGGTGTAGGTGTATACATTCAACCTGTGAATACATCTACAATGAGATTGACGTGTGTGTGTTGAGAAATAGCAGCAATATGATTGATGGATTGGTGTCGTTTTGAAATTTGATCAGATAGATGAAAACCGAGATATTCAGCGAAGACGACTTTTTTCAACGAATTTATTCTCAAGCTAGCTGTACATTCGTATATATAAATATATGATATCTAAAGACTGTAATCCGTGAGGAGGATTTAACTGAAATGATGGGGGTTGAAACAAACAACAATATTAATGATGATGGTGGTGATAATTATATAATGTTGACAATTGATGACGTAAATGTGGAATGGTAAGAGGCAGGGGTTACGCAAGACTTTGAAGTCGTTTATAAAGTGCATACAGATTAAAAGGGTTGACAACATGAATAAACAATCAAAGGATTAGGTAATGTAAATGAGACGAGTGAACTGGAGTCAATTGAAAATGTTTTGTTAAGAGTTGCGATAATTAGGAAGATGAAATGAAATAATACCGGTGAGAAATGAATACAAAAGGAAGAAAAGGAAGTAGCCGACCAAGACTGAAATCAATTCGGGGCCAAGGTGGAGAGAGAGAGAGAGACAAAGACTGTACCTACTTCTTCTGCACACAAAGGTCAGACTTCATTCAGTAAACGTGTTGTGTTGGGGCGAATTCGATAGACAACCTTGAAATGCTTGTTTGCATCGACTGAATGGTTGGAATCGATTAAATGTTCAAGGATAGAACTTGTGATACATTTCCTTTGACCCTTATACAACTAGGCCAGAATGTGATCTGGTATACGTGTTGACAGCAGTGTATGACTACGACCGATGTACATTGCTCCACATGAGCAGGTAATCACTGTGAACACACACCTATCGGCAAGACAAACTAGTTTGCCAAGGTGACCACTGGGTGTAGTTTATTTCGTGGAATCGAATAGGCGGAAAATGAGGAGGAGGAGGAGGAGGAGGTAGGAGGGGGGATAGCAGGGAGGGAAAGGTGAGTACTATAATGTTTCAAAAGGCAAAAAATTACTACTTTGATCATGGTGTATCTAATGAGTGTAGGTAATGTTTTTGAATGTTAGGATCAGGCTTAAGGTTGTTAATGATCCTGCTGTGTAGATGACACAGTTCCAGGCCACTGGAAATGTGAGAAGGCACTGGCAAACTTGCTTTGAGTAAAATATTAGGAGGGAGGGATCAGATGTTCAGCGGTGACAAGGTGATCAACAATGAAACTGTTTATACACTTTTTATTTCCCTTTGGATAACCAGAGTAGACAATGTTGTCAAATAAGCTGACGGACAATCAAATGAATAAGCTGAAGACTGGAAGTTTTTTTCAATTCATTTCAGTCAATGAATTATGAATAGAAACATGAAGTGTTTTGATGTATGTATGATACCATGTGGATAGAATAGTGATTATACCTCTTTCTTATCCATTGTTCAAATACTTCATTAAAGTATAACGCTGCATTGTTCTGAGATAAAAAATAACAATATCAGGTCAAATGAAGACTTCACAGATGAGGAAATATTTGAAAGCCATTTGACACATAATCTTATTTATCAGCAGTAGTCATACGGAAACCACGCGTGGCCACACATATTGACGTAAGATGCGAGAAATAAGAGTTGAGTGGAGAAACTACATTCATGAACAACAATATCAGGAATTATATTGAAGATCTTAAGTATAAGCTGATACAAAGAGTTAGTGAAAAAGATTATGAGCTTCTAATGGACAATTTCAATGAAGCAAGATCAGCCGCATTCAAGAATCCAAAATACTCAGATTAAGAAGTTGAACAAACTTATGGGGAAGAAAAGCATGCAGTCAACAGTAATGGAATTAATTAACAATAGCATATCACCGATGATCGATAAGTCAAAGTGGGTTATCAATATCTCTGGAATAGAGTCAGTCGTAAGCTGAACAGAAGAGAAAGTGCTAGAGAAAGGTTTCAACTTCAATGTAGCGGTTAACGAGTTGAAACGAGTTGAAGATATAATTTCCAAAATAGAAATAGCGTTAACTTCATTGGATAAGACAATTTCAGATGAGGTAAGAGCACAGTGTGCTCTAACACTGAAACGATAGAAGAAATGAAATCTAATTTACCCAAGTCAGAGAGAAGCTCTCAGGAACCTTGCTAATGATAGCAGTATAGTAATTGCCAATGCAGATAAGAGGCAACTCAACAGTTGTCATGAACAAATCTGACTACATCTACAAGGTGAACGAGCATATAGAAATAGGACCGAGCATATGAGGAAATTAAGAAGTCAGTGGATATGATTATAATGAATAAGGTGAAGAAATCGACAGGGGATCTGATACGTCGGATGAAGCCATTTCTAAGTCAGTCAAAATGGTTCAATTTAATGCAAAAACTAATAATCCCAGTAGAATGTATGATATTATTAAGATTCATAAGACAGGTTATCCAATCAGGCCATAGTAGATTGTAGAAACACTCCGACTCACGACTTGTCTCAATATTTAGCAAGGGTGTTAGGTCCAATAATAAATCACTCAAAATCTCAACTTACCAACTCTTATGATTTAAAGCATAGATTAGACGACATACACACTTAGACGACTGTGAAAAAATGGTTAGTTTTCACATAACTAACTAGCCTTTACACAAATATACCGATCGACATGGCTGTAGAGGCAGTTACAAATGGGTTTGAAGATGACAATCAGCTTACTCATCGAACTAAATGCCGATCGAGGAAATCACACTAGGAGCACAATTGTGCCTAACATCTACATTTTCTAAGTTTCAAATAAGATATCTAAACAAAGTGAATGGGTGCCATGAGATACCAATATTCTCTATCGTCACAGACATATGGATAGTTGGGAACAGATAAACCTGCTGACATTTAGTCTTACTGAATAGACATGGTTCCAGTATGTAGATGACACGTTTACAGTACTGAAATCAGCATACATCAACAGGTTGTTGGCACATATAAATTCAGTAGTGAATGCAATCCAACTTACCTGTCTGTGACTAAGAAAGTGGTGTAGGTGAGTGAGCTAGGAATGTTTGATTGCAAGATTAAAGAAAGGAAGACAAGAAGGAAATCTAGAGACTAGTTAGTGTCTACAGGAAACCTAGGCATTCGAATCGCTGCTTAGACGTTAAATCCTCCCACCGTATTTCAGTGAAAGCAGGCCTAGTTAAATGCCTAAGTGATAGGAGGCGGGAAGCTAACTAGTCGATCGGGAAATCAGCGACAAGAAATTAGACACATCAAGAATATCTTGCATCTCAATAATTACTCACCAAAATTTGTAAATAAATTCATAAGAAATCGAAAGAAAAATATTCACAGTAGTCGTAGTGGTAATACATGTGTTATCAATAATTATTCGACTAGCAATGGTAATAATGGTGATAGGGTTAAGAGAGAATTCAAAGCCTCTGCTGTGTTATGATAGAAAAAATGCACCTCACAAGCATTACGAACAGTTGTCAATAAGGCTGGCCGGGATTAAAGTGGCATTCAAAATAACAAACTCGTTTACAAACAAGCAAGCTTTGTAGGCTAAAACATCCCATCGATGCAATTAAGCAAAATAATCTGGTTTACCAAATCCCTTGTAGTAATGATTGCGAGGTCAAGTACATAGGTGAAAGCAGTTGACCAGGGTCCATTAGAATAACACAGCACAAAAACTTAGGTAAATCAAGATAAGTAGATCCTAATAAGATAAGAAATCTAGAGAGAAACTCGGCTATAGCCTGTGCACGCAATTACACACAATCCTACAGTAGGGTGGGATAGAGTGACAGCGTTGAAAACTAATTTACTTGGGTGAAGGAAGAGATTGATAACGAGAACTTCGTTTATTCAATCAACACCAAGTTGATGCAATCGAAATGATTGTGCACCTGTCTGAGATATATGGAATACTCTACTACCCTTGTCATCACAGAGAAGGAGAGAGAATTAGGAATATTATATAAAGTCTGTCTGGAAATTGTCGAGTCACCTGATATGAATATGAAGAATAAATTGTGTCCAAAAGGTTATCCAGTAAATGTTACTGTTTCACTGTGTGATATTTCTAATAAACACACTAACGTGGAGCAACATATAAATTCAATTTAGTTACCATGGTGAAATTCATCAGTCCATGTATGATCGGTTTTAAGAATTCCTGAATGATTTGTTTTTGCCTATACTTTGTGAAACGTTTGGAGTCATGTTGACTGGAGGTTTGTGGAGATTTATTAATTGATTTCGGTTTCGACTTGATAATGGACTGACATGAGTTGGTGAAAGTTTGGGAAGTTGGCCACCGTGGATAACTACTGTTTCACCATAGTATGAGACCCGTGAACAGCGTGCACCCACAACCCCCCAGGACGCGAACTCGGCATCTTCAGTCTCCTTGGTCAGCATGTTATCTTTGGGCTAGTGGGTCGGAATCCAATGCTCTATTTATTCTATTTTTGTGGCTAGTGGAGTGAAAAATGAGTAGAGTTAGTCAGCGATGATACTGCGTGGTGGTCGTGGTATATCGTGAACTGATAGAAGTAGGAAATACGGACCAATGGATTCCGACCTAACGGCTTAATGGTAGCGTGCTGGCCACAAAACGTGAAGGTCATGTGTTTGATGCCTGCTGGGGTGGTGGGTGCTCACTGCTCAGGATTTGCATACGAAGACGAAACAGTTATCCAGTGCTCCCGGTTTTCCAATGCCCTTCCAACTAATCTCAGTCCATGATGAAGTCAAACCTAAAATCATATTTACTGTCTCTACTCATATTCATTTTCACATTGACTAGACATTCATATAGAAATGTTAATGTTAATCAAATCGCTACTCCCGTAGTTGTACTTGCAAAGTCCCCAGTAAATTTAAGCAGTTGATTCTCTTGACAGTGAAATGACTACTAACTACCTTGTAGAAACCAATATCGTTAAGATATTTGTTACTGTGAACCAGTAACACTGGATATTTGTCTCATGAATTAATGCTCATCCATAAATCTCTATTTCTAAACTCTCAATACTAACTTGTCATTGTATTCTAAGCATAGCTCAAACCTCATTTGAATAAATACACCTAGATGGTGAATAAGAAAATACATTAACCTAGAAGCGTACATAAAATTTATTCACATCAATAGTTAGCTACATTTTCATTTGCTTCAAAACCTTTTTCGACTTTTCATCTATCTGTACAATTTTCAACACCTGTCAGTATATACTAATCGAATGACACTAATTGATTATGACTAAAATATTAGGGGTTATTGTAATAATGAGACTTTAACTTCATTCATTCATTCATTCATTCATTCATTCATTCATTCATTCATTCATTCATTCATTCATTCATTCATTCATTCATTCATTCATTCATTCATTCATTCATTCATTCATTCATTCATTCATTCATTCATTCATTCATTCATTCATTCATTCATTCATTCATTCATTCATTCATTCATTCATTCATTCATTCATTCATTCATTCATTCATTCATTCATTCATTCATTCATTCATTCATTCATTCATTCATTCATTCATTCATTCATTCATTCATTCATTCATTCATTCATTCATTCATTCATTCATTCATTCATTCATTCATTCATTCATTCATTCATTCATTCATTCATTCATTCATTCATTCATTCATTCATTCATTCATTCATTCATTCATTCATTCATTCATTCATTCATTCATTCATTCATTCATTCATTCATTCATTCATTCATTCATTCATTCATTCATTCATTCATTCATTCATTCATTCATTCATTCATTCATTCATTCATTCATTCATTCATTCATTCATTCATTCATTCATTCATTCATTCATTCATTCATTCATTCATTCATTCATTCATTCATTCATTCATTCATTCATTCATTCATTCATTCATTCATTCATTCATTCATTCATTCATTCATTCATTCATTCATTCATTCATTCATTCATTCATTCATTCATTCATTCATTCATTCATTCATTCATTCATTCATTCATTCATTCATTCATTCATTCATTCATTCATTCATTCATTCATTCATTCATTCATTCATTCATTCATTCATTCATTCATTCATTCATTCATTCATTCATTCATTCATTCATTCATTCATTCATTCATTCATTCATTCATTCATTCATTCATTCATTCATTCATTCATTCATTCATTCATTCATTCATTCATTCATTCATTCATTCATTCATTCATTCATTCATTCATTCATTCATTCATTCATTCATTCATTCATTCATTCATTCATTCATTCATTCATTCATTCATTCATTCATTCATTCATTCATTCATTCATTCATTCATTCATTCATTCATTCATTCATTCATTCATTCATTCATTCATTCATTCATTCATTCATTCATTCATTCATTCATTCATTCATTCATTCATTCATTCATTCATTCATTCATTCATTCATTCATTCATTCATTCATTCATTCATTCATTCATTCATTCATTCATTCATTCATTCATTCATTCATTCATTCATTCATTCATTCATTCATTCATTCATTCATTCATTCATTCATTCATTCATTCATTCATTCATTCATTCATTCATTCATTCATTCATTCATTCATTCATTCATTCATTCATTCATTCATTCATTCATTCATTCATTCATTCATTCATTCATTCATTCATTCATTCATTCATTCATTCATTCATTCATTCATTCATTCATTCATTCATTCATTCATTCATTCATTCATTCATTCATTCATTCATTCATTCATTCATTCATTCATTCATTCATTCATTCATTCATTCATTCATTCATTCATTCATTCATTCATTCATTCATTCATTCATTCATTCATTCATTCATTCATTCATTCATTCATTCATTCATTCATTCATTCATTCATTCATTCATTCATTCATTCATTCATTCATTCATTCATTCATTCATTCATTCATTCATTCATTCATTCATTCATTCATTCATTCATTCATTCATTCATTCATTCATTCATTCATTCATTCATTCATTCATTCATTCATTCATTCATTCATTCATTCATTCATTCATTCATTCATTCATTCATTCATTCATTCATTCATTCATTCATTCATTCATTCATTCATTCATTCATTCATTCATTCATTCATTCATTCATTCATTCATTCATTCATTCATTCATTCATTCATTCATTCATTCATTCATTCATTCATTCATTCATTCATTCATTCATTCATTCATTCATTCATTCATTCATTCATTCATTCATTCATTCATTCATTCATTCATTCATTCATTCATTCATTCATTCATTCATTCATTCATTCATTCATTCATTCATTCATTCATTCATTCATTCATTCATTCATTCATTCATTCATTCATTCATTCATTCATTGAGAAGTAATTAGCACCCTATAATTATTACTCAAAATCTAATTGACCACAGTTATATAACCAACACTGGAGTTAATTTATGAAAATAAATGTCATGATGATTAAGAAAGTGTAAACCTGTTGATTTCTTATGTTACGCTTTCTTAACCATGATACTCTTTCGCATAAATTTATGAATAAAACTGTGCGTAATATATATATTGTATATATCATCAACGTCGGTCAACCTAACTCGCTTGGTATCACACATATTTTTCATTATAAACATTCTATTCTGTAGGTTGTAAAGCAGCTGAGAACAATCCAAGAAATACATATGCCTGCTTATCCTGCCTGCTATTCTTCTTCTTCTTGCTTTATTCAAATTTATGGAAAAGAAGAATTGTATAGAGTGTATTAAGGTGATATGGGGAATCATTTTTCAAAAGAAAAAAGGCATAGTTTTTATTTGTAAACAACCACATATAATATAAGCCACCTTTGCTTTATTGTCCATTTAAACAAAGAAGACTATACTAATCTTTTCGGCTTTGACTGACTATAGAGGCTACCCTGGCAACTGTTCAAATGACCAATTGGGCTTTGATATTTCGCCTGGAAAACTACTTTCCTATAAAATAAGGCAATCTAATTGGCTATCTCTCTCTCTCTCATCATTTACTAGGCCTTTGAAGTCATTCTAAGTTTTGTTTGCAAGTAAACTTGAATGCAGCAAAATATTTCAGCTACCTTTAAACTAGCTAAGTAGATATACAGTCTATGTAATAATTTAGATGAATTTAGATGCCTGAACAATTAGCAAGTAATGAAAAGAGTACTGTGAAATGAAAAAGTATTTGTTGCAAAGATACTTTACGATGCGTGTTGTTAATGGAATCAGGTAACTGACTACTACTAATTGTACCGGAGCCCATCGACAGACAATCTGATGACAGGTGGTATTTCAAGTGTGAAATTACACGTTTCAAGCAATTTATTTTCCTCATTGTGAATAAGATTGTCTTATTTTTCAAGTGATTTCACTTTGATTGAGTACAATCATGGCGACATATGTAAGAGAAGGGAGGTGGTGTGGTGTGGTGTGGGAAGGGATGGGATGGGATGGGATGGGGTGTAGTGGCATGGACTGAGGAAAGATTGAAACATTGAGCCGCATATATGTGCATGTTGGTCAGGATAATTTCAACAGCTCATATATATCTATAATGCCAATTGACAAGGTCGGGTGAAACTGTGTACCGATTTCGACACATACAATCATGATGATGATGATGATTCGGTTATTTGTGAAGAAGAGACTGCAACACTGAAACAGGTCAACTATCTGTCATTCATTTTTCATAAGGAAGGAGATTAATAGTGTAGTGTAGACTGTGTAGGTTGAATTTTTAATGTGATGCTGATGCTGATGGGGGTAGGGGTAGGGGTAGGGGTAGGGTGTGAGTGGGAGTGGGAGTGACAGGATGGATGCAGTGGCATGAAAGGAGGGTGTGTGTTATGTGTGTTATGCCAGTGGAAAAGTGGAAATTAGATTCGAATGTGGATCACATCAAATAAATGTCACTGATCGCATTACATTTCAAAAATAATAATCATTATCATGATTACTTATTTTAACAGACTGCTTGCTACATTGTAACAGGTCAGCTGTCGTCTGTCATCCATCCATTTCATAACGAGATGATTAGTAGTAAACGTGGCTGCAGTAGTGGTAGTAGTAGTGTTCGCTGTGAGAAAGTGAAATTTATAATCTGATAATCGTGGTGTTATGGTTTTGGTTGCAGGGGTGGGTAGGGGTGGGAATAGGTGTAGGGGGTTGGGTGAGGGGTAGAGGTAGGGGTAGGGGTAGGGGTGTAGTGACATGAATGAATTCCTACAAGTAACATTTCAATGGGAAGTCAGTCATTTCTGTGTCAGTGAAATACTATACCTTCAATTGTAACACTAGTTTTCAGTGTCTAATAATGATACATAGACTTTATGTTAAACCCACCACCTTCGTGTTTCCGTAAACGGATTAGACAATCACCTCTATTGTTTTGAATACTACACAAAATTGAAATGAGGAAGGCATGTGATGGATGCTATGAGGTGAATGTGCACATAGCTTGTTCATGAAAGAAGTTCACTGTGAATTGAATTACATCCACCGAGAATCGTGTCATTATCGTGAGCACAACTGACAAGTGACTACCTTCCCTGACTGATGCCTTATTCCACCATCCTCATCTTGTGGTGCTACGTCTTACTCTGAATTATTATTAGGACATTTACTGTTCACAGCTTCCCATTAGCAACAACTACTCATCAGGCTATTGAGGCAGTTGGCTTATTCGTGAGAAGAATGAACAGTACTCAAATGACTGTCACCTAGTCAGTCATTCATGCCTCACCTGCTGCTGCTGATGACAACTAATCCGTCTCATCTATTTCTTGCTGATATTCAATGAAACGACATTCCACGTGTGGCGTGTGCATGGGTGTGTGAGTAAATGCATGACTGACGGAGACGGAGGTTTGTTGGCTCACTTGAAAGGGTGAATGAGTCGAGAAAATATTTTTGATCGTGTGATTATGTAAGGTGGTAGTGGTAGTAGTAGTAGTAGTAGTAGTAGTAGTGGTGGTGGTGGTGGTAGTAGTAGTAGTAGTAGTAGTAGTAGTAGTAGTAGTAGTAGTAGTAGTAGTAGTAGTAGTAGTAGTAGTAGTAGTAGTAGTAGTAGTAGTAGTAGTAGTAGTAGTAGTAGTAGTAGTAGTAGTAGTAGTAGTAGTAGTAGTAGTAGTAGTAGTAGTAGTAGTAGTAGTAGTAGTAGTAGTAGTAGTAGTAGTAGTAGTAGTAGTAGTAGTAGTAGTAGTAGTAGTAGTAGTAGTAGTAGTAGTAGTAGTAGTAGTAGTAGTAGTAGTAGTAGTAGTAGTAGTAGTAGTAGTAGTAGTAGTAGTAGTAGTAGTAGTAGTAGTAGTAGTAGTAGTAGTAGTAGTAGTAGTAGTAGTAGTAGTAGTAGTAGTAGTAGTAGTAGTAGTAGTAGTAGTAGTAGTAGTAGTAGTAGTAGTAGTAGTAGTAGTAGTAGTAGTAGTAGTAGTAGTAGTAGTAGTAGTAGTAGTAGTAGTAGTAGTAGTAGTAGTAGTAGTAGTAGTAGTAGTAGTAGTAGTAGTAGTAGTAGTAGTAGTAGTAGTAGTAGTAGTAGTAGTAGTAGTAGTAGTAGTAGTAGTAGTAGTAGTAGTAGTAGTAGTAGTAGTAGTAGTAGTAGTAGTAGTAGTAGTAGTAGTAGTAGTAGTAGTAGTAGTAGTAGTAGTAGTAGTAGTAGTAGTAGTAGTAGTAGTAGTAGTAGTAGTAGTAGTAGTAGTAGTAGTAGTAGTAGTAGTAGTAGTAGTAGTAGTAGTAGTAGTAGTAGTAGTAGTAGTAGTAGTAGTAGTAGTAGTAGTAGTAGTAGTAGTAGTAGTAGTAGTAGTAGTAGTAGTAGTAGTAGTAGTAGTAGTAGTAGTAGTAGTAGTAGTAGTAGTAGTAGTAGTAGTAGTAGTAGTAGTAGTAGTAGTAGTAGTAGTAGTAGTAGTAGTAGTAGTAGTAGTAGTAGTAGTAGTAGTAGTAGTAGTAGTAGTAGTAGTAGTAGTAGTAGTAGTAGTAGTAGTAGTAGTAGTAGTAGTAGTAGTAGTAGTAGTAGTAGTAGTAGTAGTAGTAGTAGTAGTAGTAGTAGTAGTAGTAGTAGTAGTAGTAGTAGTAGTAGTAGTAGTAGTAGTAGTAGTAGTAGTAGTAGTAGTAGTAGTAGTAGTAGTAGTAGTAGTAGTTGATTCATGATTTTGCGTCTTATGATGATTAATACTCATTTTATACGTGTGCTAACCTGCTACTAATTGTGGTGGTGATGATGATATATACAACGTTGTGTTATTGAATTATTACTGAGCTATTCTTTTAATCTAGCCAGCAAGAGTATTTTTCTCTCTCCTGAAATTCACTTTCAATTGTCAACTTCGTAACTTACAGTTGAAATCAGCCTGTCGATGATTACATTAGTTTAACTTAACAATAACACAAGTAACTGAAGTCTTTACTTCAAATTGCACAGCCTATCGTATACGTTTTGAATGACAGACTACATAGGCAAAATCAAAGTAGAACTTCATACAATTGTGTTGGTTCAAGCAACAACACTTCACAGTTGGCTGCAAAGAGCAAGTGGATAGGGGAAGACTGATATTAAGATGGAGAAAGATGTATGGGAGTAAAAAAAACTTTCGAATAAAGGTTAGTGAAAGCATTCAAGCTTTAGAAAATGTCAAAGAGTGGATACATCTGCGCCTTAGTGGTACATTTACAACCATATCACCAAGAGTCGTCAGTCGCTGATTTCTGTTGTTTCTGTAATTCTCAACCAGGCAGTCCACACCTCCGTACATGTTTCACATCAAAAGTCAGAAACTTTGTGCACTGGTGTCACGTCATGATCTGGTCACCATAAACCCTCTCCCAAATATAGTCAAACTTCCCCCTGTATTACACCTCAAGGCAAGCGTTGGCTCAGCATGCACAGTTCATGTCCAAGCCACCACAGTTAATTAAAGTTCACAACCTTATCGATCGACTTATCTGTCTTGCCTAGTACCTTTTGCTTAACCTCTGGATTACACTGTACGCAAAGAATACTACGATGACACATATAATCAAAACTTTGTAATCACTTCTTGTCTCACAGCTTTATAAGAAGATGTAACAGGTTGGAAAATACGAAGCGAACCATCTGTATTCGAGCTGAGATTTCATCTTGCATTGGTAAATGCGGTCCGAAATAAAAGGTGGAGCGAGTTGACACCAGATTAGTCGGTTTCATCTCTAAACGTATCTATCTACCTTTGCATACATTGATACCAAAATCACCATTACTCTATACCCAGCCACAGATTTATAAGACTGTGCAAAGTAACCGAGCAAACGCAACTGATACAACTTATGATCCAATGATAGCAAAACTGAAACGACAAGTAACAATTGCGAATGGGGTTTCATCAAATAACTGACAAGTTAGGAAACTATCAATAATGTTATATTCATCTCGGTGACTAGCCGTAGGATCCAGGACCTGTGTTTCGTCCTATTTTGGACTCGTCAGGTGAATGTGCCTGCACCCCAGTGGGTGGTGTTGTTCCCACTGACCGTCAAACCCAGTAACCATTACTTCAAACACCAAAGGGTTACCCACTAGGCCACTGAGGCATGATGGCCGCCTCTTTTACTACGGGTATCAGTTGTTGTTTTGAAGCTTATAATTCCCTGTCGCTATACGGAGCCGAATTGCTTGAGTTACTCGGTGTTGCAGTCACCGGCGTTACCACTCAGCTGAGCTGTTTGCACCACGACTGACATCCTGTCGAACTGGATTACATACACTGATTGATCACTGCAGGGGAACCGATTTCATGTTGTTTAGTCTTGAATGCTGACCGAATTCTATCGGTCATCTTACAATATGGCCACCAAGCTAGAAGGCTCACCATCACGGTGCACATTGATAGATGTTAGTTGGTTAGGGGCAATCGACAGGAAGTCCTGGACCTAGGTTTCCTGCTTGTTAGCACTCGTCAGAAAGGCGTATTTGCAACTTCAACATAACTGATGTCTCGCCTGAGCTTTGAACCCTCGTCAAACAGTGTTGCAATCACTGATATATATATATATATATATATATATATATATATATATATATATATATATATATATATATATATATATATATATAATGTACCACGGATCGAAACAATGCGATGTTGCTTAGTTGCATTGTTCATTCTCTTTATCAGCTTGCGCAATCGCTCACACGCGCACGTGTATGTGCTTGTGTGTATCGTGGATCATTTCTATACATTTTTAAATACCTTATGACCCTTTCTCTCTCTCACTAGTTTGTTTGTTCTCATTCATTATTAACTAACTTTGCTTTCTCTTTATCATTAAATACTGTTCAATTTCTGATAAGCTAAATTGAGCCAAAATTACCTTACCATAAAGCATCTTCCTAATCTATAATCATAACAATACTACTTTATTCGCCCTTTGTTTGTTGATTTAAATCAGTCTTGTGTACTGACTATCCTTTATAACTATTATCCTGGATTGTTTTGATTAGTAACTGGGTCACATCTCTTCCCTCTTTTGTTTTGCTTGGTTAGCATCTACAAACAGGATTCCCTGTAGGTCTTTTTATTTCTTATCGTCTGTGTATGTTATTACCCAACATGTATCCAATTCCTGCAGGATATTTATCTTTCACATTGTTTTCCTACTTATTGTTAGTGTGTGTTTGAAGGGGAGGCGGGGGGAGTATATTTTCGACTTGGCTTTTTCGACAGCGATATTTTACCGTACTGACCAAACAGACTTCTCCACATAGATGAAAACTGTTCCATGAAGAGAAAGAATTAGTGATTTAGCGTTGTAGTTTTTTGGATGTAGGTATAATGTAGGTATAATAACAGTAATAACAATCATAGGATATGCATATTCGTGTTGTTACTTATTCAAGCTATACGTTTGATGAGACTGGTAAGTACATGATCTTCGAGCTTCTGGTTAACTCGACTGTAACATAGATGACGTGGTGACATCGATCTCAGAGTGATATCAAAGTCTTATCTATTTATCCTTTCTACGATTCGGCGTTAACAATAATGTATGTAAAGTGGTAACTGTTTAGTAGAACCAACTTTCAGCAGATGAACCGGCAACTTGTCGTGGAATATGCGCATATACATGAGTTCCATCATACTGTTGGTAGCTGTGTTTGGGGAAAAGGATGCTACAGGAGGGAGTGACAGTTTTACATTGACCTGTATATTTTCCAGCTTAACAAATGGATGAGTGGTCCATTCGAAGTCTTGCTATCACCGGAAGATCAAATTTTTTCTTAGATGACAAACAGTTCCACCTCTCGATTTTATTATAGTGCTCGTAGATATCCAGATTTCTGCGCATTAAACGATTTGGTGATTGGAGGTAGTGTGTAAAAACACAAGGATATTGACAAAGCGACATGGACTTCACCAGATGGACACACGACACACGACTTCATCTGAATCTGAAGAAAGTGGAGATGCAGGCAGACTACTGGACACAAGGTGAAAAAGGGGAGCAGATGTCGGTTCACACCATTATCTAGCGCAAGGAACCTATCTTCAAAATCAAGTTGAAAGCCTTCACAGAAGTTAGTGATCACACATGATCACACACTGATCACATATCACTTTATTTGAAGATTATCGTTTCCATCAACTAACTTTATTCGACTGGTGTCCTTAGCTGATTAATTCACTCGTTTGAATAGCTTTCGTCAAATCCCTATGTAGAAGGGATGCCCATCCAGATTTGTTGAGAAGACCTTGAAATTTAAGCAGCATGGAGCAGATTCATGCAGTCCTAAAGAAGACCATGTATGGGTGTTGATAATGTAGTCGGGATTATGAGGTACCGGTTGTCTAGGTCACAGATCATCTCCAGTCGGTAAATGATTTCTCAGCATGCTGAGGACAAGCTACCGCTTCGGGGCACCTCAGTGTGTATTCGCAATTTCACTTCCTCCTGTGAACAAATGATCTTGTTCAGTAAACCCTCACCCATACGGTCTTCCATAAGTATACAGAGGGAATGTTCCACTACGTCTAATTTGGAATACGGGAATTTTTCATAAATTGTAGACCACGATATCGTTTTATTGTCGTCATCGAACCGAAATCGTTGGATATTTTCATCTGTGTGCATGAAACTGACATTCAATACAGCAATATGCGTAGGAGAGGAAGAATGTAAATCAATGTTAATTTTCGGGTTGTTTTTTCACCGTTGTACTTTACAAGAACAATCATCCTACAGGCCATAAGAAATGTATAAAAGTGTTTTCGCTTGCTGAGACTCACTACGAATAGCGAAAGAAAAGTGTCCTGTGTTTAAGATCAACTTTATCAAAGAACACCTTTCAGCAGAACACAGAAGAGTGTGATTGCCTCAAATCAACAAGCGCGTTGCGCCACTATACATGAATGTCAAATGTTTGCTTCTTACACTCGCGATTGAAAGCGTGCCCAAATCAACAAAATTACTAAAGAGCGTATTGTTTAGTCCAAACGAAGACAAGACAAATGTGGTTTACTAAATCAGCTGAAAAGATTGTCCACAAATTACTGTGGCCGGTTGAATCGTCCGGTTATCCAAAAACCTCACGAACACCAACTATTAGTAAAGCAACAAGATACAACCACCTTGCTTTCAATCCATGCGGGAAATCATGAATTTAACTAGAAGGATGTGGAAATCCTACAAAGACCAGGTTCAAAAGCTGCAACAGAATTTCTAGAAGCCTTACTTTCCAGTGACAAGTCAATCAACTGACACGTGGATGTGAACGCAGTCTACAATCTACTTAGGAATAGAAGAATCATCCGTCAAATAAGTACGAATCGATCGGTAATGGAGTACAGTGTGACAGTAGCAAATAGAATAGTTTAGCAAAAACTTCCTCCAAATGTGATCGAGCGAAATGTTAAGATCAAGGAGGTCAGGGTGTCTAAACTTTTTTCGTTAACTAACAATAGGGTAACCCTCAAGATCAGTAAAAATTCCCAGACATTTGAATATACTTCACTTCGTTATCAAGTTAATGCTTAAGGTCTCACCAAGCTTGAAGACAAAATATCAAATTTCAGAGGACATTGGACCATCATCAGTAGAAATTTGCTGTAACAATCGGTCTCATAGTAGAATGTGCTAAGTGACTCAGTTTGTAACAGTACTTATGATGCTAAATGTTCGAGATGTTTTGAGGGAAGTCTTTGTGTTG